GTTGATCATGATAGTCAGGCTTAGCTAAGTGCATCCCCCTTTGGGAGCTGTCCTTATCAAAGAAACCTTAAATCAGCCTGCATGAATAGTTTCTCTGTGGCTGCACCACAGAGATGAACAGAGAAATGGGGCCTCATTTAGGAAGGCTCAGAACACTTAATTCTTTCTTATTAATAAGCCTCGCCACTAATGCTCTAAGGGTCATTGAGACACGCAAGTCCCCCAACCACAACAAGGTGACGATCTACTGGAGGGAAGGTTAGTACAAATTGCTGTGAAGATAAAGACAAATATGTTTTGAACTTTATATTTTAAAAAGCATTAAACATGTTTAAACATATCAGAAGAAATTTTTCTTTTGGTTTCAGTTTGAATCTCAATTTTCAATTTGGGAATGGTAAAGTTCTGAACGGCCTTCTTCTTTTCACCTTGAGAGGGGTAAGACTCTTCTTTTCATTAGAGTTCTCAGCTCTTTAGTTCTCAGACAGTAGATAATTGGATTCACAAGGGGAGGAATTATATTTTGAAACACTGATGCCAAGATGTGCACATTTCCTGCTGTCCCAGGAACCCTGTAAGAAATGTAGACGTTGCTGTTAGGAAGAACACACAGATGACCAGCAGGTGTGACGTACAGGTTGAGAAAGCTTTGGTTCTCCCATCAGATCATCACATAGGACAGCAGGATCAAGAACAGGGGGATGAGGACCACAACCAATGCCAAGGTCAATCCCAGAATACTGTTGATGACAACAGTAGCACAAGCTAATCTGACAACCACAGAATGACCACAGAAACAGTGGAGAATTTTGTCAGGTCCACAGAAAGTCAGCCTCACTGTAAGTATTGTTGGAATAATCATTGCACGAAAACCCCAACCCAACACCACACAACATGTTTAATGGCCAAGCTGTTTATCATTTTAATATGCAGTGGATTACAGATACTGTAGCTAAATATCTGTCATAAGCCATAACTGCGAGGAGAAAAACTTCAGCTGTACCCAAACTTTCCTTTGTTCTAAGAGTCAAGAGCGGAGGTTGCCACGAGTAACCAGAGGATCCACCCGAGGTTAGCATA